TTGTCAATAAATTAGACTCTCAATTTCAAATCTCTGAGGTAATCGATTCGGTAGCTCAATTCGTTTACCAGCTATATAGTTATTTTCTAAACATTTATGTCCAGAAACTTAGACCACATTGAGGCAATAATCCTTAAATTAGAAGCATTTCTGGAAGAAGTCTTGCACATAACTGTTGTTTGAATGGCCATATAGCTGTTGATATAATGATTCGTTTTTGCATCGTCTCTGCAAGTATATGAAATAATATTATATCATTATGTAGTATTCCATATTAGATTTATTTTATTATTTCAGTTCGTATATTAAATTGTAATAGTTGAATCTGAATTCTTATTCCACATTGTTTAGATATATGATCAAAAGTCTAAATTCATTTTTTTTCAAAAGTGTGGTTTCCTTTTGTCAAAATCCTTTTTTTTCAAACGTGTGGTTTTCTTTTGTCAAAATCCTTTTTTTTTTTCAAATGTGTGGTTTCCTTTTGCGATACATTAAAGAGCAATAAAGTGTATTTATTTTTCTTAATTAGTGTAACATAAATATGTTAATTGATTTATAATAGAAATATTATTTTTAATATATCATGTACACAAACTATTTGTACATTGATTGATGCATAAATGGCCTCATCTTATTTTATTTAAAAATATAACTTGCTTGGGTAGTACTTCATCCTTTTCCCATCAGATTCGTTGAATTTTACTAAAATGAAAATTATTTTCGAATCAATCAAGTACCCTGCAAAATTAATATTCACTATAAAATTTGTTAATTACTTTTAATTAGTTTTAGTGATGGTAATTTAATAGAATTCGGAAACACTTAATTGAATAAAATTATATTTGAATTTCTATTTCAATGAACTCGTTCATTAAAGGAATGAGCAAGCAAGAAAACGAGTAGCATCGAGAGGGCAATTATACCGATGCATAATGCGAGGAAGCATACCGGTAAAAGGAGGAAAGGATAATTGATATTACACTAAAAACCGCAACAATGACAATTTAAGACCGCAACGGACAAAAACAAATGCCATAAAGTAGCTCTGCCAAGAACAGGAAACCATAAGTCGAAACATTCAGTATTTCCACAAACTCCAACCACAAACGAAATAACAATAAACATATACTAATTGATGCGCTTTGTTCCTTGTTTTGACAGTTTTATGGTAGCGGCATAGGTCCTCCCGTTTACACAGAACCCCACACACTAAAAAATAGGCGAGTACGAGTATGCCAGCGCCTATGTTATATTTGTGTGCTGATTAACAACAATAATTATGCGGTGATTTCGTTATTCAAGGTAGTAATTGACTTATATATATAAATATATATATGTATATATATCAATCTATATATATGTAAATATATCTATATGTATATATGTATACATTTCATGTTATAAATTAAGTAGATACATTCGAAGATAACAGTTTTCATCCACGTAAATTTTACTTCTGTACTGATAAATACCAGATAATGTATAAGTAATCTCAGGCAATAATCATATTGTAAAATTACTTAAATTTAATATAGTTTTATCCATATTAAATAATTTCTATCTACATAAACTATAATTTAATACCGATAAAATGTATGGACACCAGGTAAAGTACAAGTAAGCTCAGCTAATACTTAAATCACACTTAAATCAATTAAATTGAGTAAATTGATACGATATGACATTTGAAAGACAGCGCAGAAGTTAATGCATTTATTTTATTGTAGTGCAAACTGGTACAAGTCCGTACTATGAAATCTGCTAAGTTGATCTAGAGTACCAATAAACTAATTAATATTAAATGTTTTGTTGAATATACATATTCTATACATGTGACATATATAACTGTAAATACGTTTTTAATATAATAACCTTATTTTTGTATCTTTTGCAAGAATATTTTAATTTTGTGAAGATATTGCTAATAGACATATAAGCGTACCTCGAAGCAACCCTTTGAATCAAAATATAAAGTTCTTTAGTAAACCTTTAGAAACGTGAAATTCTTAAGTATAATAAATAATAATTCTTAACAACGTATTCATGAAGTTTTAGCACAAAGTAAATAAACTATAATATAAATAAATATCAGCTACTATACCAGTTACCTAAGTTTATTGGAATGCAATACAAATAAATTCTTGTATTTAGTCACCTTTATGATTCTTATTTAATTGTTATTCTGACATATATTACGTGGTAAGCAGTTACAATTCTCAATTATTTTAAATCACATTGACTATATGTTTGAGTTTATCCGTTTCCATCTACGTATCTTGTTTTTAATATGATTTGAGCTAAATTTTATGGATTCTGAAAGCAACTAATGTTAAATATGCTAAAATCAGGCGTTGGGTTATGAAATTTTAAAATTATATCCATTTTCAATAATAATTTATGCACTCAATTAATTTGTGCTGTTATATACATAATTTAAAATATAATAAGAAATCAACCCAACATAGATCTTAGAAAGATAATCTTCTTTATTACCCGCGTAAGTTAGTTTTAAGAAATTGGTTTTCTTGAACCGGCTGTTGTGGCGCCTATAGACTACTAAGACAGAACTGAAAGAAGTACTGCCGTCACTAAAATCATTTAACTTTACAAGCTCATGTCGATCTCTGGCTCTGCCGAGCGTATTTCGGACCCTAAAAATTAAGAGTAGCAGAAAGAGAAAGGTTAATTTTAATATATTTGTAATTTGGGCTTTAGCTGCATATATTATGATATAAGTAGGTAAATTTAATAAAACAATTAACTTAGTTTCTTTCAATCGAATTGTTGCTGCAGTTAACACAGTTAAAAAAATTGTAGGATATGACTTGGTCTCGGAAGTTGCAGTAAAGCAGTTACCACGAAAAGGATTTGCTTTCTTTAGAAGCCCATTAGAAGTTATATAATATCATTCAATAAGTCCTCTTCCATTACTATTGAAAGTTAAATAATATTCTTAAAACATATTAAACACATAATCTAAACAAATATAATTATTGTTGATTAAATTTGGCCAATACTTTCCCAATAGTTTGTGGACTAGACATGCTTATACAGCTTTTAATGAAAAGAAATTTTGCCCTACATCAGTTATAGTTCAGTATGACATAAAGGTTTTCTCTTCAAATTGAAATACTAAATTTTTCCATATAACTCATTCAATTTAATTGAATTCAGTTCACTCAAATGGCATAACGTAGATCCTGACATACCTTAAGGTGGTCTTATGGGATCAATGCTTCAGCTGTTGAGCATATCAGACCTTTTCCTCACTAAAATGTTTCTAATGGACACATTTGCGTGGGATATGACAGTCCTATTAATTGATAGTAATCCAAACTTAGCATCAGCAAAACTACAGGTCTACATTGATAATATTGCACTGGAATCAAATCAGTTGAGGTCCCGAATATATATATTAATCTGACGATAATCCAAAATTTTTAATTGAAAATATTACGTTTGATTGCAAATGCACCACTATATATTACCCTCAACCAATTACACAAACAGATCTGAGTTCCAAATAATCAAAGATTAAATGTCTATAATGTGGCAAATACTTAGTTATGTTACTGGGCATAGCCAATTCGCGTTTTTGAGAGTGTATTGTATATACAATATAATTGACATTTTTTTTTAAATTAGACAGATTGTAATAAATAAAGAGGAAGAAAAAAAAAAATTGAATTAGCATTCTCCTAATTTAACTTTTAATTTTCTCCAGCAATTCGATAGGTAGAGCATCACTTAACGAGCACGCTAATCGTGCCAGTATTATAAAGATTATTGGGGAAACATCGCACAATGTAGGGCAGAAAAACCTGTCAAGCCAAGCACTCTGCTTCCTGACACTCACTTTTTAGATAGTAGTGTTCTACTTGCAACAATTGACAATCAAGATCTGTAAGATTTGGCAGATAAACCCTATTGTCAGATCTCTATATTGACTTGGTATGAACTATATGAAAAGCGCACTAGACAGCTGCTTTAACTAAGGCGTGTCATGCTTAGTACTATGGTACCGGTACTGACGGATCGTTCTATAATTGAAAGACATGTTATGCAACTGGGTCTACCTTATAATGACTTTTGTCGAGGTTGTGGTTCTGCAGATAAGGAGGAAATTGTGCTTCATCTCATTCATCAGCGTTCATCTTTAACTATTAGAAGATCTAAAATCTTCGAGGCCACTTTTGTACCGACCAAACAGAACTGTTATTCTACAAAATTGGCAACTTAGCTAAGTTGTTAGAATTGTCAAGTTGGTTCATCTTTATGTACCTTTTCGCGTTGCTCGTACACTTACGTCGTACGAGCCGTCTAACCTAACCTATATGGCTACGTTTTCGAATAAATCCTGATTTAATTTTCAATGGGTAGTTAATATATTTTTATGATTATGAATATGTTATTCATTTTCAAGTTGCATATCATATCCGATAAATATTGGTTGATAAACTCAATATTAATTTTTTTATGGTAAAACAAGTGCACTTAAGTTCTCATTATTAAATAAAGGTGGTTGCTTAATGAAATTTTATTTATTTTCCATATAATTCATGATGAGAAGATGTGAAAAGTTGTTGTTGATGAAAAGCGTTTATAATAGTTTTTCACTTTTAATATAATAAAACCAGAGTAGCACAGTGCCTCAGTGAAGGACTATTATACATGTTGCATGCAATTGAATGGCAATATGTGATGAATTACATTTTACATATGTAAATGCATTACAAAGCGATGTGATTGAGTGTACATTAAGTAGGAAACAAATAAATGTATCAATATATAAACAAATAGAAGAGGAGCTAAAAGCAGATACCTTAAGTGCATTTCGATTTCATTAACTTTTGGTATCGAAATAGACATAAAAATCAGCAAGGATATGCACGGCTTGTTGGTAAACAATGCAACTATAGAGTTCGAGATGCAGAAAGCACTCGTATTTTTATGCAAAACTAGGAAAGCCACGTTTCACGTACCAGCATGAGTTTTATTGTATTTGGGTCAATGTGTACTAGAAACTCTTCTGATAAACAACTTTAGAATTTTTCTTTTTTTTGTCCAAAATACTTTTGGTTAGCAACATGAGCGAAGGAAAAGGTCAGCATTTGTATAGTTTTATATGTAATGTGTATGATTGGATTTTTTAGATTTAAAGTTCTATATACAAGTATCTGCAACTGCAATTCATACTATCAAAAGAATATAAATTGTTTATTTATGTTGTACTTTTAGAAGTACTACGAATACAAACAAACAAAAAAAAAAAATAGGGAAAAATAAAGCGCAGTTAAGGAGATATTTTGCATTGTCAGTTAAGGCTAAAATACGTGAATTTATTTCTTGTATTCTTGTTGAAAATTTAGAATTTCATTTTTTGAAATATCGTTTATACTCACTATAACATAAAATTTCATTTTTCGCTAATATATTTTTATTTACTATTATATTTACTTTCAGGAACGTTACAAAACCGACATAAATCTGGCGATACAATTGCTGCAGTGCAAACCCGACAGTTTTATGCCACAAAAGGTGTCCTCGGTAAATTTCAATTATTAAATATGCTATGCAAATATTTTTCTTTTTGCTAATATTTTTTCTTCTTCTCCTTTTTTTTTTACACATAATTTACATGGATAACAACATAAAAATGTACTAACTAAAACCTATGGGATTTAATTGTGTCCTTTATGCTCGTTACTTTCGGTGCGGTTCAAATGTTTGACACATACGTACAGCTTCCCATCGATATACAATCAAAGGTTTCGGCTTATATGCGTCTGGAGACCAATTCACATTCCGATTCGGAGGGCAGCACTAGTGGTGTTGGTGTTGCAACCTCTGCTTCCTACAAAGTACTTCCAGCCTCTGATTCACCGCCACCAGCACCATGCCCCTTTCCACCTACTGCAATGGTATACTCAATGAGGGGCCTTGGTAAGTGTTAGTAGACAATTTTTAGTTTTTCATTTTTTATTTTTTTTCTGTTATTTAATATAAATATTTTTTAAAAATATTGTTTTTCTTTTTAAATTATTTTCTATTTTTCTCTTTTAGCAAATATTTTTATAATATTGTTTTGTTTTGTAAGTTGTTTCATTATTTAAAAAATATTTCATATTTATTTTACGTTGTTATGTTTTCATATGCTTCATGTCCTTTGACTGTAAATATCAATCAAATATTAAACAAAAATACAAATACAAATTATAAAAAAAAAAAATATTTTTTAAAATAAAACTTTTCAAAAATGCTACATTTAATTGCTGTCACAAATATATTTTTTATATATCTTAATTTTTTGTTTGATTGCTTAATAAATATTTTTACTGTAAAATAACTCTTTTTCGCTGCATCACAAATGACACATGTAAAGTACACATGTTCCATTCAAATGTATATATATATATATATATATATTGTTACAGATTTTTTATTGAATTTATCGCAGTGCTACTTAACATATATATACAAATATATATATGTAATATATACGGCTTAACATATATGTATGTTAACATTTCTGATACAATAAATTAAAATTTCATAAATTGAATGTAAAATTGACATTTTTTGAAATTTTCTGAAATTCAAATTAAATGAAAATCAAAACTCCAGGCTGTTTAATTAAAATGCAGTTATTTTATTTTGAAGGATAAAATAAAAATTAGAATACATAAAGCACTCGAATTGATGTTGTTGAACAAATCAAATATGAAATGATTTTTGAAAATTCTTTTATTTTTATTTTAAATATCGAATTAATTTTCATTTCATAACAAAATATTTGAAATTAATAATTACAAATATCTAGGTAAAATAATACACAAGTATATTCCTCCATAGTCCAATCAATATTTAAACTAATGAACTTAAAAATGATTGATATATCACCAAACTTCAAAATTTTTAGTTCCAAATGTCAGACATTAAAATGATTGTAATTACAGTGTCAAAAGAATGATACTTACTCATTACTATCCTTAATCGGCAATAGAATATAAAGCTCTAACTTACTTACTTATGTTACTAAGTTGTCCATTACAGATGTGAGTCGTTCTTAGTTGCTTCTTGTCTCTAGTTGGTAATACCGAGTGCCCCCAAATCGTTTGTCATCTGGTTCTTCTACCGAAGATGCGAATGTACTCTACCGCGTTTTCCACCTACGGGTACCGAATCAAACACCTTTTTACCCAGAGCACTTTCTTCGATTTGCATGTCCATAGTCCAATCAATATTTCAACTAATGAACTTAAAAATGATTGATATATGTTATCACCAAACTTCAAAATTTTTATTTCTAAATGTCAGACATTAAAATAGTTGTAATTACAGTGTCAAAAGAATGGTACTTACTCATTACTATCGTTAATCGGTAATAGAATACACAGCTCTAACTTACTTATTTACTTAGTTGGCCATTACAGACGTGAGTCGTTCTTAGTTGCTTCTTGTCGCTAGTTGGTAATACCGAGCGCCCCCAAATCGTTTGTCATCTGGTTCTTCTACCGAAGATGCGAATGTATTCTACCGCGTTTTCCACCTACGGGTATCGAATCAAACACCTTTTTACCCAGAGCACTTTCTTCCATTCGCATGTCATGTTGGTCATGTCAACCAAACAAGCGAATCCGTTGAATTTTTAATGCTCTAATAATCTTTCCTTTTCCTTGCTTCTTGATATACCGCACTGTGATTATAGTTAAACGTCTTTAAGTTCAGTTTATTTCTTCGTGATATATCGTACATCAGTAACAGTTAAACGGCTTCTTCTCAGTCTCTACTATTCTGTGCTATTTAAAATCGGGTAGTACTTGACCAGAGAATTAATTTATGATTAAACATTTTTTTATTTTTTTTTATTAAAAATGGATTGTAAAGAAAATATTGAAAAATAATGTGTTTCTAGTTTAACTTACCCCTACTGGGCTGCAGCACAGTTCATCCCGTGAGTCGTTCTGCAGCTTTTTAGTAAGATTCAGAAGATTCTGAATGACTTTGATTACTCAGTAACTCAGAAAAATATACTCTAACCACACACAAGTTAAATTGAAGTGTTTAATTTTGTTAGTAAAATTTTAGCTCATGTGGTAAAGAAGTTATATAAACCAATTTGTAAATTAATTACTTACTGCTATCCTTCTCTCCTAGTAGAACATAGGGCCTCTATGATTCCTCTAAATTTTACTCTGTTGCCTGCATCTCTCGTAATTTAGTACCAGGTGTACTGTGTGTCTTTAAGCGCCTAGTTCACGGTTCTTTGCCATGTCTTAGCTGGGGCTCCAGACCGGCTGTTACCTTATGGATTTCAGCGGTGGCTTATTTTGTAAAGCACGATGTTGTTCTCTTGAGCTTGTGGTCAATCCACTTCCATTTTCTTTCTCAACTAATATGTGATACTGTTGAATCAACATGGTGCGCCGACTTTCATAGTGTACCACATAACTATCGTGAATTGTCAATAATTGTTTAATTAATTACATTAATTAATGGTAAATATATATCACCATAACAAGTTTTATATGATTTTTGGATGTAAGTTAGTTAGGATATTAAGTTATGTGACATTAAAAATCACTTCAAGCTCAAAAATAGAAAGTTACTGTATATCTTAATAATTAGGTCAGCACTACTGTACGGATGTGTTACATACAGCAAAGCCTCAAATACTGCCATAAAGTAATTATATATAGCACAAAACCTGGCTATAAGAAGACTATTTAAGATTCCATGGTATATTAGAACAACAGACATGCACAAAGATCTAAGAATCAACTCAGTGAAAAAATATATCAGGGACAAAGCCCTAAGATTATTTACAAAAGTAGATACGCTCCCAATTCCGCTTTAAGAAACCTCAAGTCCATCTCAGGACCCACAGGAATATATGCTGATATACGGGCCGTCATCAGTTGAACTATTAAACCTCAAGTCCGGCTCAGGACCCACAGGAGTATATGCTGATGTACGGTCCGTCATCACTTGAACTATAAATAAATGATATGAATTCCAGTATAGTTAAAGCTTAGTGTAGGGCAGGGATAAGCCCCCCGGTCACAAAAGCGTAAAAGTGCACAATAGTACAAACTCAAGAAACCACAACCACAACAACAACATATTTGAGGTAGGACATGTTAAACTACTTGAGATTTTCAAATCCTGGATAGTCGCCATACAACTTGCATAGCGCTGCAAATAGTAGTCTACTATGGCAGTTATAATAACCAAGCGATTTTGAACACACCCTGTTTTTTAATAATAAAAAATATAAAAATGATAATTTATTTTGTTCAACGAATACTCATACATGCGAACTTTCTCTTCTGTAATGCAAACGTTACCTGAATTTGTCATTTAATCGAATTACAGGATTATTGAAAATTATGTGATTAAAATTTTCATAAACAGAAAAATGCACTTTTCCGTTCTACTAAATAAATTATAAACATTTTTGATAATTAAAATAATTTTTTCTATGCTACTGTGTACCATATATTGTGGTCGAACGTCAATTAAATGCTTAAATTCTACTAAAACTTAATTCGATTAAATTTCAATTTGAAGCAATAAATTAAATATATAATACTACTAATTTAATTTTTGTTATGAAACATTTACATTTTTTTAATTACTAATTTTTTTTTCTATTATGCAAAGTATTTTTTAATTAAAATTTTTTGTGTTGTTTGATTTTTACATTAATTATGTGTTCAAATAATTTTTGTTAATTAAAAGACATTTTAATTTAGTTCGAAATAACACAACAAATTTAATTAAATTTGAAATGGATTTTTAAAACGAAAAAAATATATTTAAAGTAATTGAAATGATATGCATAAACCATTTAATTTATTAAGGCACTAATAAAATTATTATTATTTCCTACTTTAGATGCTAAAAATAATGTTAATAATATTACCAACAACAACAATAATAGCACTTCAAAGGAAAATAGCAACACTAATAGCAATAATAACAATATCAATAACAATACAAGCAATATATGCAATTCCAATACATCACTAAACAACAATAGCAGCACAAATGGTCACAATAATGATCCTGATATGATTTCACCAGTGCTGATGGCCAAATTCCTAGAGGACGAATTAAAGGCAAGCGAGGTAAAACATTGCGACACCTGCCAGTGTGCTAAGCAGGACTTAACTGTCTTGGCTGATGTGTCACGTTCATATACAGTTAGCACACAGACGCCTTTTGCTCATAGTGGCAACTTGAATGAACCACTGACACAATTGTGTTTGCGCTGCAATAGCAATCTCAACTCACCCTCCCGCACCAATAGTCCATATCTTATGAAACTAGTCAAGTCCAGCGATTCTGTGATATCGGAAACCAAAAGCTCCGTGTCAGATTTAAATGATATGGATAAACTATTTCTGCCGGCCAAGAAGGATGATCTCATGGTTAATCCCATTTTGGGTCATCACAGACTATGCGAACGCACTAATGGTAGTGGAGCAATTAGTCAACAAAATGGTGCTTTAGTTACTAATAGTAAGTTGTCTTCAATGTTGTATACTAGCTCACAGCTTGATGCGTATGCAGCTGAAAAGTACTTAATGGAAGTCACAAGTTTAGCTGGGGTTAAAAATGGCTATCAGCGCAGATTTCTCGAAGGAGGCGGTACAGCTTTAGAACTGCTAGGTAAATATGAACCAACTAATGCAATTAAACAGGAGAATTTAAATGAAATCAATGGCAATGATGAATTAGAGGATGAAGCGAAACCATTGTTAAGTGCAGTATCACAAACGAATTTATTGGAAACCGAGAAACCACAAAAGGTTGACGTCAGTGATATTAATAATGAGCTTATAAAAACACCCGCAAGCTCGTGCAGTGCGGCTAACGTGAAGAATAATCTATTGAGAACGACCATATCTGGTAGCGTGAATAGTTTATGGAGTAAAACGAGTAGCTGTGAAGGTGCGAAGATGTTTGAGAATTTTAATAGAAATTTAATCAAAACAATTAAGGTGAGTGTGATTTCGTTACATTGTTTTTAAATTGTTGTTTATTTAATGCTTTTAAAATTAATTTATAGGCTGAAAATCCAAAGTATCGTGGACCACGTTTATGTGCTATGCGCATACAACAGAATGGACAAAGCAATATATTGCTGGACAACATAGAATCAATGGAAGCGGTTACACCGATTATATATAGAAGACGTGAGCGTCTCTTAGACGAAGAGTTAGATGATACGAAAGATATAATCACTTCAAACTCTACTAGATGCTTACCAAATGTAGATAAGTTAGATTTAATAGAAAGTGTAGAGAAATGTAGCAATAGTGGAACTGGTGAAATTTTAGATCCGATATGTGCACTAAGTGTAACTAATGATCTCAGCACAAGTGAATGTAAGGCAATCATGTGCAATAATAATGAGGTTATACATGTAGCTGGCTGCAATGGAGAAACTAAAGGCGGTGGTTTACTTGATGAAATCAATTCTCCTAGCTTAATAGTAACAAATGTAGATTCTCAAATTGAACAAAAGACTGGTAAAACTGATATAGAAATGTATAAAGATATAAAATCAAACTTATCGACTGACAAATGTGCTGAACTTAAGCAAGAAATAGGACTCGCAAATCTAGTGGATTTGACAAGTGAACTACAACAACAATTGGATAAAACTTCTTCAAGTTTCGAAATATTGCAAAATGAACCTAGTTCAAAAAATTCCTTAAATTCAAAATCTTGCACACAATCCAGTTCGGTAAGTGATGTTATAGATTTTCAAGAGAGTGTTATATTACGTAGACAGCAATTGAGCCGTGTAGCCGAATGGGTACAGAATAATACACAACAATTAGAACAGCAGCAACAAGTGATAAATGCTATGAATCATTGTGATTCTTCAGGTACAGATCGTCAGTCCTCATTCTCTACCATTGATCAATTAGATTCTGTTTCTATGGAAAAGTTATCAATGGACTCTGGTTATAAGACTACACCGCAACCACAAACTAATGGTTATTCAGATAATCAACAAGATGAAACAAATAAATCAACTGAAGATTCATTATCACCCAAAACTGAACCAGTTAATAATCATACGAATATTAATAATAATATTAATAAAATGCAACAAACACCGCCATTACAATATCAACAACAACAACAACAGCAACAACAACCACTTATTAATACTGCGCATACATTTTATCGACGCACAACACGATCGGGTCTTCCAGTTGCATATACTACATCTGATCTCATTACGCATAACGGCAGTACTTGCAACAGTAACACTCCAACTCTGCCAGAGCAGCCAACGTGTGATATATTAAATTATAAATATTATCCCAGTGAAACGGATAAGACACGTGCCATTAAAGCGGAATTGCACACCACCACGCAGAATGTGGACATAGCACAAATGGAATATAATGTCAAACAATTTTTGCTCAAACAGAATGAATGGTCTATGCACTGTTCCCGCACAAATAATAGTAATAGTACCGGTACTATTGTCTCGACAGGTAGTCAATTGCACAGCAATGGAAATATCGGTTTAGCGACAACACAGAAACTACAAACTACAGGTAAAAACTTAAGGCATATGAAATTATTTAGCGGTGCCGGAATCGGTCCAGGTGTTGGAGAACGTGTACGTGTGACAACAACAACTACGCCGGCTCTAAACGCTAATCAAGTCATAGCAACAACAATCACAGCGCCGAGTAGTGCTACTACAGGAAATAAACCCGTGGTACACACAATACCACAAAGAACTGAAACGAATTTATAAGTAGCAAAATATTTGTTAATTAATTGCTTAAATAGATAAAAAATATATTATATATATTGTACTTTTAGCATAGTTGAGAGCATGAATGTGGATAATATAGACCTTCAGATATTCTAAAACCAAACATATTTACTTGTAATTTAATTATATTTAATAGGCTTGATTAAAAGTTTATTACTCAATGTATTTAATTAATATTGAACTAAGCGATGCGCCACAAAAATTATTATTTAAATAAAATTTACTAAAAAAGCTTTTAGCATTGCCTAATTATTTAGTAAAATATATTAAATTAAATTTCAAAAAATATGCAGAACCGAAATTACTTAGTTTATAACGCCTACGAAGCCTAAGATTGTCCGTATTTATTATAAATAAGTAACATCCTTTAAAATATGTGTAATTAATAATTAATTAACGTAATTGTTTATCTTCATTGCGAACAAAATTATACTTGATATTTGGTATATAGTCATATACAAAACTCTCAAAAACTTATATAAATTAAAAGCAGATAGCAATAAGCATTGAATTATTTATATTAATTGGTTAATCACATATAACGAAAAAAAGTAAAAATTGTTTAACTAATGTTTAACGTATTAATATAAAAAAGATACAAAAAAAAAAAACTTGTAAGATGGCTGAAAGCAATATTTAATTACATATATCGTTTATTTTTTAAACTCGTAACGTAAAAATAATATTAAATTAAAAAAAAAATATTGTAAAATAATTATATACATTTATAAGATATTTAATGATATAGTATATACGTATATATTTGTCTAAGGTATTTATCAGATAGTTAAAAAATTGCATTTATATGTGTGTATATTAAAAATGAATATAAATTATTAATTTTAAAAATAATATTATAAATTAAAATATGAACATTTTATATTAATTGTTTTTGTTAAAATTTTATTTTTTATTAATTTTTTGTATAAATAATTTTTTAATGTTATAAATATTTGAAACTGTGTTTTTTTTTTATTAATTTTTGTTAGTATAATTTTTAAAAGTTTTAATTAATTTTTTTTTAATACACGCCTCTACTTGACAGATAACATTACATATCGATAAGGAACTTTTTCTTTGTACAAACCGGTTGCAAAGGTTACTGCAATATTATGAAAGTAGCGAAACAGGCTTAGTTTCTAGATAAGTAACTAAATTAAAACTTTAGATTAAATAGTAATAAACTTGAATGGTGACAATGTAATATCATTTAGCTTCTCAATAAAGAATATCCCAAATGTCCCAAATGAACTGTAATGAACTTATTTTATAATGGATTGCTCTTTCTTTCAAACTTGTGGCAACACTGCATTCACATTTCATCTAATAACATTTAACATCTAATAGGTATTATTTGTATTTTGTGGTAACACAAAAATGTGTGGCAAAAATGTTTTGCATTATGAAATTCGTATGATATACTGTGATAACATTACTTTAAAAGTAGTAACTTTGGATAAGTAAATAACTTATTCGGGTCACAAAACACAGTATGTAGTAATGAAACTAACAGCGTTACAAAACGCTATGCTGGTGGTAACTCTAGCAGAAGTAGGTCTAATAGTTAAGGTTTATGAATTTCGAGCCACACTGTTCGAACACATAAGGTTTATGTATTGTGGGACGTTGGTACAGCGCACCGTCCAATAAGTGGCCCCATTGAAGTGAAGGATTAGTGAAAAATTAG